CCCCCCCATTGCTCGCACTGCATCTCGGAGCGCGTGCTCGCGGAGGGGAATGGTGCTGTGACGCCTTTTTTTCTCTCCAGTTGGTAAACGTTGATGTAGAGGTTTCAGACTCGTGTCATTTGCTATAACCGGCATCCATGACCCCAATATAACTTCTCGACTTTTAACGTCCTCTAAATTGAGACGACAAAAAGGAACATATCTGCTTCTCGACGATAAAGTTTTTCTATGTAACTTACGAAGATATACGCAACAAAGTACAATATCTATTTCATTATCAACCTTTAATTCAAATGATTTTCTGAAAACTCTAATGACGTATGCCAATAACCTAAACGTATTTTCGACGATTCGTCTGTGCCTGTGATTAAATTTTCTTTTGGGAGAACACCTGTTTAGGACTACTTTAAATAGTTTCATGATATTTGTGGATAGGGGGAAAGTATCATCTACTACTAAAGCAGGTGACATTGGTCTAACTCGTCCTGGAAGAGGTTTTGGTTGTGGCAAATTTAATTCATTATTGAAGAGTTCCCTACTGAGTTCGCTATTTTTAAAAACACCACAATATGAAATCTTGCCTTGACAGCCAACATTGCAATTAGTAAAGCAATAATTAGTATTTAGTACCCCATGACATCAATGCTGAAATATCCTTTATAATTAAACTAGTGGTGCTACAACAGCACATTTTCTCGCATTAATTCAAAATTTTTCATATTTCGACATTGATTATTTTGAAGAATTACTTAACTTTATAAAAATAATACGAAAATGTAAAAAATAAAATGTAATTAAGTTCTCGCAAAGTCAGATCAGCCAGATCGAATGCGGAATATCAATTTTGGTGCACATTCTAGTACGGTTTGGGGGCAATTATTCACAGATGAACGGAGGGACGGGCAGAGAGTCTAACGAATAGACAGACGGACAGATGAAGTTATAGACGGATGAACAGACAGACGGTCGGATAAACGGTCGGGAAGACGCATTGACAGACATTGACGCACAGACAGACGGACGAATAGATGGACGGACAGAAAAACAGACGGATTGACAGATTGCAGGACTGACGAAAAGAAAGATGGACATTTTGCCGTCAATTAATTTTTCGTTATTAATGACCCACAAAACATGGATCTGACGAAACGTGTTAGAGAAAGTAATTTACTACATACATGTGCAATATTTATGCACATAATATTTGTCGTTACCAGGGCCTGATAATGAGATATTTTTTTCGCCGCACGATTACAATTATCTTAACTACGTAAGGGAGAAAGTAAATTTGTTTCACTTCTCCCTGACTGCAGAAGGCTAATACAGACTGCTCCCCTCTGCACAAATCTGCCAACTCCTACATTGACATCTCCGCTACATTCACGGGCAAACCTAGCTCTTGAAATCAGAATGCTGAAATCGGCGTTTTCGGACCTTTCCCAAACCATGTTTAATTTTTGTACACATTCTAGTATATAAATATGAAAACTAGATCTATTCCGTGGGTTTTATTCTCATTAATAAGCACTTTTGAAAATCGGAACGTGCAATCAATGATAGGCAAATAATCTCTTAGAGCTGGATATGTACAGCGCCCCTAGCGGCTAAGAATGCTATGTCGCGTTATCTTCATAATCTTTGTTTTCTGCATACCGAATTTCTGACAGTCTATCAGGAGTTGTCGAGTGTCCCGTGCGGTATTAATAGCATGTGCTCAAACCTAAAATTATTTGATCAATTTTTGGTGTTGTTTAATGGAGTAAATTCAATCGAAATGCATGTCATGTGTGGTCATGTGCTGGTTGAATTCAATGAAGTTCAATAATAAAATCATCACAGTTTTAATGTGCGGGACGATACCAGTAGATGATGTGCGAGTTGTGCGGTGATATATTCTTTTCATGCGGTTCAATATTGTCCGTGTTTAATCGTGTAAAATCGTGTGCACAACAGAAGTTTTTTTAACATCCCACGTTCTAAGCAAAGCTGAGATGTTCCCAGCAGGACCTTCACATCTCTGCAGACACATCGGAGCCGTCAAGTAAGTGTTTTTTTCTATATTTTTGGACAAACACAAAGTAATTTGTGAGGAAAAGAAATACCATTCCTTGCATTCAGTTAATACGTTGTTTTACGTCATGGTTACGTTCGAGGTTTTTTGACTCACAGGGAAGTGATATGACGTGGTACTGTTCTATTGTGTAGAACAATTATTGGTTCTCGTCTGTTAGTGCAGGTACCCTCGCAAAGAATATACTCACTTCCTTTAGGAAACGAAATGTCTTCTAGTGCTCTGTACGCTACGCTAACACTTTCCAGGGCAGGTGAACACTCGGGTACACGGGCCAAAGGCTCCGGCCCTCCGATTTCGGCCTTCACGTTTAATAGCAATGCTAAGGAATTTAGTATAAACAGTTACGTGCATTTGCACGAAGGGAGTCCTCTGGAGTACACCGCTTAAATTTTTATTTTTTACGTTTTCGAAAGTTATTTAATTAATAATGAAATTATTTAATTAATAATGAAATTATTTAATTAATCATGAAATTATTTAATTAATCATTGGAAAAGCATTTAATTAATCATGAAGTATTTAATTAATCATGAAGTTATTTAATAATAATGAAGATTTAATTAATAATGAAAGTATTTAATTAATAATGAACATGTGCATTACACATGTTTACAAACAAACACTCAATTTCATGTTCTGAATGTCATTAAATTTTTATTGTCTCAATACTTACAATACTTGTAATTGTTGTACAAATATTTTAGATTGTACCTCAAATTAGCTCAATGTATCTTCATAACAAAACAATGTTTTAAAATATTGAATTTTACAATGATACGTATAATACTTGTTTCCAAAATTTATTTTGAGTGGTCAGTTTTCAAGTGAGTAGTCCCTATGATATTACACAGAGCCAATAACGCTCAAATTATAACAAATATTTCTGATAAATTGAATCATAGTTTGATCATAAAGTACATTATAAACAATGTTTCAACTTCGTAAAGCAATTGACCGGCTTAAAAAAAACAATTGCTAGGTCCCGGACACCCCTCTACCTAGGCAATGCAAGGGTTAACGTACTGTACAACAACCTTGAGTCTACGCCACGCGTAATTTCCAGCGCATTTTATGCCAATAGTAATTTACATCGTAATGCTAGAATGTCGACCTTGTCATGATGATCCCGGAGCGTTCACCCGCCGAAGCCGGTAGGTCGAGGCGGGGAACGCTGTCGAGTCATGGAAAGGGACTCGCCGTGTGATGCACAATTTTTTTCGAGAGACCTTTTATGAAAGTTTTCCTGTAATGAAATAATATCACTGTCATGAAATATTTAGTGTGGTTTTCATTTAATCATCAGTTTTGTTAGCATGGCCACGTTAGTCTTTATCGTTCTCTTTAATTTTGTAGGTTTTTTTTAGGTTTTCTTTAATTTTAAGGAGAATGTCAGTTTCTAAGTGTTTGAGTAACGCATAGAGATACGAATAGTACTCATAGTTCATAGAGTCACGTAACAGCAAGGATTGAATTTACTGCAATGTGGCTTTTGATCCTACTTCTAAGCAGAACAACAAACTTTTGGAACTATGAATCCGACCAACCAGAGCTTTATAGAATTTATGCAGTTTGTTGTCCTTGTGGATCAGGGTCTGGCGCTCTGCCGTGGAAGTTTTGTTATGTGATAATCCTTCTCTTCCTTTGTTAGAGCAAAACATCTCATCCATAAACGAACTATCCATAAATGAACTCATCCATTTGGACTGTATAATTTTAAAGAACCTTAAACTGTACTTCAGCTTCCGGATCAATGAGTCCCATCTCGAGCAAGTTTTCGTTCAGTTTCCCTGATCCTCGAGCAAATGCAGGGATGGCCCCTTGTTTTGCTTCTGGACATAAATGTAATTTCAAATTCACCTCTTCTTGTAGTACGTCACATATAGTTTTTAACTGTTTTTGACGTCGGTGGAAATAAATAAAAACATGAATATAGAGAATAATGTTTCATGGAGACTTGTAGTAAGAAAAAGGAATATAATTAAAAAAAATACTATATTGATTCAATTGAAACCAGAAAAATACCACCCTCATAAAAATATCGTTTAGGTCATAGGGTTTATATAGTAATATTGCTATTCACAGCGTTGGTTACTAGCAATTGCATAATTAATTAATTAATTTAGAACTCTGCAGATCATATTTCAATTCTTTTTCAATTCAGCATGCGTGCAAAATCAGTTCTAATAGACAATCTGTACTGATTACTACAGTACTAGATAAAATAGCTTTAACCTAGTCATGCAATACTGATAATAATTATATAATCATAGGAGGTAAGCGAGAACATTTTAAAGAATTATTATTTAAGAATTTTTAATAATTAATCTTTAAAGTATTTTACAAAGCGTCAGATACGAAGAGTTATATATTTATATTCGAAATTATAGATAATACAGCATAATTTCATAAAGAGTCTAATAATATCAACAAAAAATAAATTTTTATACACTTCTATGGATAACTCTTGTAAATGTGTCTCTTCATCCACTAATTCTTTCGATACCCAGCAATATTATATCTATTGAAGCTAATTTTGAATTCATGTGATTTTTCTAATGTTAAAATAACACTTGGATTGGGTGAAGAAATCATAAAGAAATGGTGAGAGTATCATTTTCTTTAAATTCCTCAGATTTTTCTTCCCGTATACGTAAGTGTATACGTAGTATAGTAATTTTTGAGGTCCCCTGATACCGAAAAAGTGGTTCTTTTCAAAAATTCCGTCCGTCCGTCCGTGTTCACCACTACTAGCCCCAAAACCATGAGTAGGATGTTTTCTAAATTGAAGAAATCCCTCTCCATCTGGCTCGAGTCGAAGCTTTGAGATTTTGAAAAACATTCTTTAAAATTTGGGGGTACTTAACATAAAGCCCTCCGGACATTTTCAAATTTTTCTCAAAAACGGCTCAAAATTTCAAAAAAAATTGTTGTAAGAATAGAGTAACATACACTTATAAAAGTGGCCTAGGTCCAATTTTCACGGTTAACTCTAAATTTTCTAAAGAATCATTTTTCCGATTCTTTCCTACAACTACAAAATTAAAGATAGAGATTTTTCTTTAATTTATATTTCTAGTTATTTTATTAAGGTCATGTGTATTTTTTTTAAAACAGTAGTTTTCGTGTAATATTGCATGCAATATGTGCAATTTATAAAATAACAAAAACACAATTTTCTCAGAAACAGCTCCAAAATTTGTCCATATGCTTTTCTTAGTAATAGTTCTAAATGTACTCTATGAGATGACATAATTATCAGTTTATTCTTTTGTTATATCAAAAATTACAAAATGTAATTTTTTGACTTGTTTCTCTGACGTAATATTTGTACTAGCGGCGCTTTGTTAACATTATTATATTGATGAGTAATTTGAGATGGGTTTTAAATAATGTCATATAAAGTTTCTCGAAACCTCAACAGTTTTCGGTAAAAACTAGCTCAAAATTCTACAATTTCAGAAACGCTCAAACGCCTTTTTCTGCAAAACACATTTTTCCTTCCTTTTCGTACGGATAGTGATAATTGCATTCTTTAATTTGGCGTAAAGTTCATTTCTTTTGTTTTTTCAAGCATTATGCAAATCTAATTTTTTGAAAGATTTCACTCGCCGTTAATATACACATTTTCAGCGACATGAAAATACTATTGCATTAGTTTAAGTGCTTCAAATGACTTCTAATGAAGTTTTTCGGAAAATTAAAAAAATATTTTGTGAAGAAGAGCTTCAAATTTCGAATTTACAGTAGCACTTAAACGCTATTTTCTGAAAAACGGCTCAAGATTTTCAAAGAAAATTTGCCATTTAGTACGAGTTTTTACTGTTCTTTAAAATACTTAAAATAACATATTCACGTTCACGTTTTGAACACCGAAAAATTAAGATTTAAAAAAAATGTACTTGGTTGGAGATAGTAAGCAGTTGGCAAGAGTATGCGGCAATTCCGAATAGCTAGCTGAGACCGAAGGAAATGTCTGAGTCATTCTGTAGTACCACTGGTTGAAAGGTTCAAATAAATTATGTTAGCTGACTTCCTACAACCACAATAAAAAAGATAGTAATTTCTTTTAAATAAAATATGTTCAACAAATGCAGATTTTCAAATAAGATTTTGTAACAAGTTTTTTTCACTTGATTTTGCGTGAGCAGCGCTGGTCCTACTTGAGAAGTTTCCTCCTCCCCTGTTTTTGTGCCGCAACTGAGCAACTTCGTTTGCCAAAAAGTATGAACCTGTTTTAATGGAATTACTTTCCGAATATATAAAGGACGTTCACTTTCTTTTTAGCAGTGTTGTCTCAAGTCACGCTAACGTCGACATGTTCCTTGCCTACAGGAAAACTGTGTGCAAATGGTGGTACCCTTGTTCCTTAACCTCGGTTCTATCAATTCTAATATTTCAGGTGTGGCGTATTTTTGTAAGTTCAAACCTGAAAAGCTCATTTAACATTTAATTGTACCGGTAAATAATACTATCCAAAGTGCTCTTGAAGGGTTCCTATGGTGCTGGATGATAAAACAATTTTAATTAAAAAATTGAACGCACTTTCTTTAAATCTTTTTCTAAAAATTGTACAACGTTCTTGCTTATCGTGAAGTTCAATGGACATCTTACCTAGACTAATTCTGTGTTTTGATAACTCATGATCATGACAATCGTTGTTCTTTCGGAAATGATGGTCATGATGCCTGACGTTCAGGAGAACTTTTATGTACGTCTTCACAATGAAGCCTAATATATTTTTTAATATTATTCTAGGGTACGAAATAGATAAACAACATATAAGATGGATCATGAATCAAAAAGTCACCTGTTGTACTGGCTCTAAAATACTCGAAAGCGACCTACTTAGCTTTAATTGAACTAATTTGTACACAATAAGATGTCTGCAGATTGCCAACAGTATTATTTGAAATAAGTACATGGGTATTTGCCGAATTACGGCAATAAAGTTTTATGCACAAAGATTG